CATTCCTGTTTTATACCTCAGAGGACTTACTAGGCTACATTCAGGAAGTAACTTGACAGATAGAATTCAGGCACAGAATGTCAGATGCACATGAAGAGGATTTGTAATCTAAGCAAATCTGAAGATGGTGGCTCAAGTTTCAGGAATAATTCTTATGCAAAGGAGTTAGACCCTGGGAAGAGGGCATCTCAGTTCTGCCAAGGAGGAGTACAGGGAAGGGGAAAAGAGACAATTGATGTAAACTGGGATTCAGCTGTCCCCTCCTTAGATCAGAATTCTTTAACACTACAAAGCAAACATCCTATGGTGCCCAGAAGGTGAATCTAGTATCTAGAAGCCATGGGAGAAGAAAGAGGCCTGGAAGGCCATATCTCTCATAGGAAGGCAGGAGTAAGATCAGATGACTCTGTTAGTCAAAACTGCCTCTCAATCCTTATATGCAGATCAAGGATCACGCTTGGAGCTCTGCAGATGAGAAAAAGGTTGTAACACCGAGGTAAAAAGTGATGCCTTTACTCAGAATTTCAGAACCACTCTACTCCAAAGGAGAAAACAAGAAAAGATCTAGGCGTTTCAAAGCATGTCTGCCTACTTAGATCTCCCAGCTCACAAAAGCACAATCTCTAAAGATATTTCCGCTTCTTCGATGCACAAGCTTTTAGAACATATTTCATGCTCAAGCCACACACCTCCTTATCAGCCTGGAGCTTGACTTCAATCTCCGGTGTACTCCACCAGGGGCCACCTGCAGGCACGGCAGGAGGCAGAACCCAGCTGTCTGCCTCTAAGCGAATTTCCTTTTTCTCTTTTCTTTCAGTTTTTGCTAGAGGGTGCACACACTTGTCAGAGAGACAGTGAGTGAGAGAGGGTAAATGAGAAATCACCCTGCAAAGGAGAGGACCACGCTTCTCCATCTTCCTCTCAGGATTTTGGGCATACACGCACACATACCGGGCACGTCAAGCTGTCGGGTCAAGGACTCAAGCCACGAAGTGAGCCATGTGGGATCCAGCCTCCTTAACCACTGTGCCACCAGCAATCCATACAATGTAGTGTCCTCATTGACTTATTTAGCAGTCATTTTCCCAGTAGGCAAACTTAAAGAAGATTCTCGCATACACTGACAAGACATTTTCTCTAGACTCAGACTGCACGAGATCTCTGCCCCATTTACTGCCTGCATAGCTCTGGGCAAGTACCTGAACCTGTTTGTACCTCAGTATCCCCCATCTGTAAAGCGGCCATTGTAACAGCACCTACCTCATCAGGGGGTCGTGAGGATTAAATGAGTTCCTGTGCTGGCGGGGCTCAGTGCGAGTCTGGAGCTTAGTAAATAAGCTGTGTCACTTGGAGCTACTTTTCGTGCACACAGAAGCCAGGTACTGAGTCACTCCTTCGCATGCACTGCAGAAACCTCCTTGCTTATCTGCAAATGGGATGTGGCTACCTATTCTCCCCCAGGTTCTCCACAGTAAGCTTTTGAAGATTGTATCTAAACCAGAGACAGAAAAAAAAAAAAAAAAGGCAGAAGCCTATGAAATGCTTTGATGACAGTTATCACCAAAATCAAATCTAGAGAGAAGGCAGCCTTTGCTGGCTAGCTTGGGTCCCTTTGAAGGAACTGATGCACGTTCTTGGAGTCTGTGGGGTTCTGAAAGGAACTGCTTAGGTGAATGGAGGAACATTGGACTTCGGTTTCATCAAGCCTTTTAGTTGTTATTTCTGCTTGTAGAATTTACTGGAAAAACAGAAGTTAAAAGAAAGCCAGCCTACTTTAGGGCCTCATTGGCTGAAAAGATCCAAGGCTCCTTCATGGCCTATAATGAAACGGATGACTTGAGAGAAAAAACTCCTGATAGTGCCAACAGGACTTTTAAAAAGAGGGGGGAAGCCCCTGTAGTTCAAATTTACTACAATTTTCAAATTCTTCAGGGTGTACAAAGTCTCAAGCATCTATATTTAAAACCCAAAAGGGTAAACACACACACAAACCCAGGATCTTGGAGCTCAGGGGTAGAGGAGAGGGGGGGAAGCCAATGGGGAACTGGGGGAGTACTGCACACTGCCACTTTCTTCAGCCCTGGGCTAATTCCCTAGCAACACAGGGCTCCTGTCAGGCAAAGCTGTGCTCCTAGCAACCCTAATGACCCAAGGCCTCCTAAATGCCCCTGCAAAAGCCTCAGCCCTTCAGGCCTTAATTATACAGGCAATAGGTTAATGGTTCCGGAGTTATTCAAGATCCAAGCCCATCCAGAAAAAGTGTGCTGCTTGAAAGTATTCCGGTTTAAAAACAAAGACACCAAGCATCAGATGGTGGTCCCCAGACAGAGTTCACAATAAAAATCCGCATGACAGTCCTACTTCCTAACAGAACAGAAAATGATGCCGGTTTTAGAAATGGATTAGCAACTACAATCAAAATTATTTACTTCGAATGACTGGAGGGATCAGCAATAAAATCAAGAGGAATTTCTTATTCCTAAACAGGAACCTAATACCCTTGGCTACTTTCACTGACCATCAAAGCTTGAATGTTTGCTGGCAAGTGGGAATGAACAGGGCCAGGGCACAAACAGGCTCTTCACTTCACCTAACAAAGGTGGGTAATGCTTTCTGTTACTTCCCATTTAAAAGATTTTCCTTCTAAAATAGCACATTTCTCCTCAGGGCAAAATCTCTCTGTCTCAAAAAGCCCCTAAATGATGCATTTCAGCAGTGCAGAAGTACAACGACTGCTCCTTACCCTCTACATGCCTGGACTACTGGATTTCCCTGCAGACCAAGGCCACAGGTCCCTCTGCCGGAATGTCCTGCACTCAAACTTCTGTCCATCAGCTGGAATCGGATTACCCTACTCGGAGAAGACTCACGCAACAGGTATGTAAAGCAACTGCCTTAACATTTCATTCCCTGTTGCTATCAAAAGCACCCTTTTATTCAGGACCAAAATATGGGTTTCCACAAGCGAAACAAAGTCGCAACGTTTTCCTGAAAGACAGCCCTGGCCTCCTGTTAACTTTGGGGACTAGCCCAGTGTGCATGCACCAGCGTCCTCCGGTGCGGTCCCCCGCCCCGCACTAGAAACTTTTCGGAGTTTGAGTCCTGATATCACATTACAACCGGGAAACAACTGTGAAATAACTTTTTCTTTTTTTTTTCTCCTAGTAGTCTCTCTTAGACCTTAAACCCAGCATTCGTGTTCTGCTAGGACCATCCTTTAGTGATGGTCTGAGTATAAACATGGAATCAAATTTGAGATATTGAAAGGTTCTCCGCCTCGCCACGCCACCCCACCCCCACGCCCTTCCTCCCAGCCCTGAAAGCGAAGGGAGTTTTACAGTTTGTATATTTAAAAAGCACCCTTCATCTGAGGAGGTGGCAGGTGGCAGCCGCGTCCTCCGGCCACCGAGGGGCACTCACCGAGTCTCGGCAGAGTGCAGCCGTGCAGGAGGCGTCCGTGGTGGCAGTGGCAGTGACAGCCGGACCTTGCTTCCCGGCTCACCCGCCAGATCTGCACTGCCCCGGCGCTGCGGATCCGGGAAGGAGGAGGAAGGGGGAGGAGTCGCGAGTCTGCGCCCCGTGAGACCCTTGCGCAAGGTGCTTTCCAGCCGTGCGGGGCTGTAGCCGGCTACCGGCGCAAAGGACACGCGCGCAGCTGCGCCGGCTGCGGGCACACGCCCACCTCTTTTGCCCCGGAGTACGCCCCTCTACTTGGAGGTACCCTCGGTGGAATCCCCAGGGCACCCAGAAACTGAGCGACCCGAAAAACACCCCGAATCCCCGAACTCTGTTACCTGCGGCCGCCGCGCGTCCCCGCAGGGGGAGGACCCCCGCTTTGGCGCGCAGCTGCTGGCTGGCCCTCCAGAGTTAGGCACGCCGGCGCATCGAGGTCCGGCGACGGCAGTAGCGGGAGCCAGGGCGACAGGCCCCAGGGTGCGGCGCGCCGTCCGGAGCCCAGCGGACGAGTGAGGCCGGCGCCGACTGCGCGCTCAGGCCGCCCGGGTGAGCCCCTGACTCACCGCGTCTGAGCCGGCCCAGGGGCGGCGCATCCGACGCCTCCAGCCGCCGCCTCCGCGCCTTTTCCATTTCCCCTTTCTCTATGTAAACAGAAAGAGATCGCCCGATTGCAGGGAAGCCTGAGCCCCCGCGCTGGGAAATTCCGTCCTCCCCCTGCTTGCCCTCGGGTGCCGAGGCGAGGAGGAAGGCGGGACCGGGGAGGAGCAGAGCGCCGCTTGTGAAGGGGCGCCCAGCCAAGCGCTGGACTCGGGGATCGCCTATTCGCTCCGGCCGAGGACAGAAGCGGCGGACCCAGTTGGGGACCTGGGACACTGCTCAGTTTTGCCCCGGACGTGGTGCGGAGTTGGAAAGGGCGGCCGTGCGCTGTATCGATCCGGAATGAAGCTGGCATATCCTAGCGTGTTCGCGTTCTTGGCAGGACCCAAGTGTCCCAGGCTCCGGCGGGGAGGGCGCTTGCCCAGGGGGCCACCCAGGCCTGTTTCTTACGTCCTACCCCCTAGCGGGTACAGAGGCGCCGCGTGGCGTCCCTACGGATCTGCGTGATCTCCCGGAGGCTTCTATTTGCCTGACTGCTGGGAGCGCAAAACCATCCGCCTAGATTTCGGTTCAGGTCTACACATGCAGGCGATGACAGTGACTGCACGCGCGGACTCGGGCTTAAAGGCTCGGGAGAGGCTGCCTCAGGGAGGGCCGAAAACCTGGGGGTAGAGCACCTGAAGGGGTTCGCTTTGTTCAGTCTTTATTGGAACCGGTGCGCCACTTCACCGTCACCAAGTGTCCCTGCACCGACCGCTCCGTAACCCTCAGCCCCTGCCAATCTGGGGTTTTCCTTCTTCAATGGAAAGCGTTTGTTCTAGGTGAAGCAGGAAGCGAATTCTAGGGAAACAGGGCCTCTCTCCACGTACTCCACTCTACCGGGCATTCCCAACACCTGTGCGGTTGCCCGGCACCCCGCCACCCCTCCCCCCCCATTTCCCGGCTAGCCAGCGCCCCCTGTGAGCCAGGCGTTCTGCGAGGCTGCACAGAGACCGAGACCAGACGCAGGAGTGGCATCCTCGCCCGCCTTCTGAGCTGGACGTTAGGTTTCCGAGGCAGAGCCCAGAGGCAAATGCAGTGGGCCTTCCTCGGCTTGCACTCCCTCTGCAGTTGTAACACCGCGTCCGACCCGCTCTAGAGCGCTCCGAGTTTCTCCGTGGAAAGGGAATTGCTCTTCGGACCCCAGGAACTCCCAAGAGACTTGCTGCCGGACAAAGGCTAGCTGAGGTGGAAAGCAAGTCCTCCTTGTAGGACCTGAACTCGCCAGCGAGTGAGCCCAATAGCGAATAAGACAGGGCCTATGGACTGACTCAGCGCTGTGTGGTCCCCAAGCTTATTTTAAATTCCCGAGCTAGGTGAGTGCTGTGACGTGAACGACGCGGGACGTTTGCCTTTCATCTGAAATCGCCAAGTGGCCCCACGCACTAGTGAAGCCCTGCATCTTGGGGTGGTCTTGGAGGGAGGGACGGAGCTTCCAGAGCCCTGCCGCACTGACAGGGCAAAAACAGGCTGAGCCCAGTCTGGACAGCAGAGCCCCGCTGGCCTGAACGCCAAAGCGCAGAATTTGGCCCAGGCTCAAGCGGATTATTCCAGTCTCGGTTGAAACTGAAGTACGGACGTCGCCCTTTTTAACGCTGGGCACTAGGTCAGCGCAGGTTGTGACTTCGGATTGCAACGTGAGAGACAGCTCTCCCTCCTCTGTCCTGTTTAGACAACAAAGGATGATCTATATAAGCACTTTAAAAATAGAACCGCGGAACCACTCCCTTCCCCACCCCCCTGGAGTGAGCTCATTAAAACCACGCCCAATCTGCTGAGAATTGAGGATTAGCTGACTTCCTACAGAGAGGGCTCCCCAAAATAGCCCTGTTTTAGAAAGCTGGTGAAGCGGCTGGTCTGGTGTGGTTCTTCCCTGGCTTCTCCTGGTTTATGCAATAGGGGGTTGCATTTGCTGGGGTGAGTTAGGAGGCGTTTCTTCAAAAACATTGTTCAAGTCTAACAAAGATTAAATGCGGCAACCCGGCAGAGAGTGAAGGGAGAGAGCAACTGCTGAAAAAAAAAAACTTCGTGGACTTCATTTTTCTTGGTCAGGTCCTTTTTGCACAGATTTACAAAAAACCGTCATACTGCTTTATAATCGTGTTAACAAAGTGAGCTTTTTAAAAATTTTTTCTGTAGGGCACATCAGGTGTCTGGGGAGAGACACAGAAAGAGAGAAAAAGACAGAGAGAAGTCACCCTTCAGAAGTAACAGCCACTGCCACAATCCCTTCTTCTTCCTCTAGGGATTTTGGGCATACACACAAGTGTCTGGTGTGTTTCTGTTGGGTCCAGGACTTGAACCCACCAGTGAGCCATGTGGGATCCCCGTATCTTAACTGTCACGGCACTGCTTGAAACGTTAAGGTTTGTTGTTGTTGTTGGAGAGGTTTTTACTATAGGGCGCTTGCGCCCGCCAGAAAGACAGAGAGAGACAGAGAGATAGAAAGAGAAATCACCCCCCCCGGGGGGATGACCATGCTGCAATCCCTTCTCCTCCATTCTCCTCTCGGGATCTTGGGCACGCACCCAGGAACCTTTAAGTTTTTATCTTTGCCAATGAGAAGACATGGAGCCAGGGAACCAGCAGTTAGCGTAATGGCTATGTTGCTGGACTCCCACGTAGTCAACCGTGGTTCGCATCCCAGATCCGGTGGCTTAAAACTCACGCTGGGTGCGTGTGCGTGCGTGCCCAAGATCCCAAGAGGAGAATGGAGGAGAAGGGATTGCGGCGTGGCCATCCCCCCTGGGGGGTGATTTCCTACTTTCTGTCTCTCTGTCTCTCCGTCTGGCGAGGGCACGCGCACTATAGCGAAAAACCTCTCTCTCCAAAAAAAAAAGACATGGAGCCAGGGTGCACACAAGCATTATTCTAAAAGTCATCCTAAAGCATGTTCCCAAACTGCCTTTTTTTTTTTTTTTTTTTTTTTTGAGAGGTTCTTGCCTTAGAGTACATGTGCTTGAAGAGACAGAAACGCAGGCACAGTAAGAGGGAAAGTGAGAAATCACCCCCGAGGGGGATGGCCACACTGAAATCCCTTCTCCTCCATTCTCTTCCCTGGGATCTAGAGCCCATGAGCAGGCATGCCAGGCATAATTTTGAAGACACTGGGGCTGGGACTCGAACCGTAATTGGCCACATGGGAGTCCAGCAACGTAACCACTATGCCATCTGCTGGTCCTTCAAACGACTTCTTAAAAGTTGTTTGTTGCCAACAAAATGCATGAGGAAAGGGGATTGCAACCTGCTGTGGTTTACCTGGAGAGACTTTCTCACTCAGGAGCTGGGCAATACAGGGTTTGCACTTCTGTTTGGAAATCTGAATTCACAAACTCACAGAAACAAAATGATCAACTATGGACATGTTACTGGATGCACCACTAACCTACCTAACTGTAAACGAAAATCTCTACTAATAGACCATTGGATACTCTTTTCCATATTTATGAAATATGGGATCTTATGAATAAAATAAACTAGAATAACTTGGGGATACTTACATGTGGCTTGGTGGAAAAAATATATATTTAATTATATTGAGTCATTGGAAAAGTCATGACATATTTTTGCACAAAAAAACATAGAAAAAATTGTCATGACTTTTTTGATGACCCAGTAATAAGGACCAGTGGTATTGGCACGGGTGGGAGGGTGCTGCTGTGCAGTGCTGGGTGTCTGTGGGTGGATCGTAGTCCTGACTGCTGAATGGTCCCTGGTGTGGGAGCCCCAGTTGAGGCCACCTGTCTTTCTCCCTCTCAAGAAATAAACTTTTTAAAAAAATATTTTTATTTAATTTATTATTATTATTTTAAATTTGAACAGAGAAAGACGGAGAGAAACAGAGAGAAAGTGAAAAGGAAGCTTCCAAGTCCAGGACTCAAACAGCAGTCAGCCACATGGGAGTTTAGTGCCTTAACCACCACGCCACCTGCCAATCCCAAGACATAAATTTTTAAAAAGGATAACAATAATGTAATAAAGCATTAAGTAGCAAAGGAAATAAATACTGAATTTGCTTTGTTTTTATTTTTAATTTTTTATTTGCCGTAGGCATGTGTAATTACCAGAGAGAGACAGAGAGAGGCTGTAGCATCCTCTCACCCCAAAGGTTCATGGTCACACCACAATCTCCTCTCCTCCATTCCTCTATCCTGTTGGGATGTGGGAGGTGCACACATGCCCTGTATGTTTTTCAGAATTTGAATAAAATTTGGGACCAGTAGTTAGCGTAATGGCTGTGTTGCTGGACTCCCACCTAGTCGACCGTGGTTCGCGACCCAGACCCAGTGGCTTAAAACTCACGC